GGAATCAGAGATCGATACTGGTTTCCCGTCAAAATCTGCATACTCGTTGAAAGCCTGGCGAACAGAAGACCCTTCTTTCCCAAGGAAAGAGAGGATTCACCAAGAGTAATAATTTGAAGGACAATCGTTGGTTGACGTATAATCTATAAGTATACTCGCGTAACCGAGCGTTGTATCAGCTGCGGATGAATCACACAGCTGATTTGATGACAGGCGGATGTGTGTAACGAAAAAATGGGGAAAAAACCTGCGACTTGCGGAAGTGACAACTCCTTTGACTTCCCGGCATGAAGAAATAATTCGCTCGGTGAAAGATGCGATTAATTCATTTCTATCTGATGGCGTGGCGCGAACGCGCGAGTGAGTTGACGCGATGCTTATGGAATTTAATCTATAATTATGATGTAAAGACCACGCTCTGGCCGTCTAATCGGAGACACGTGTTGCATTTAATCAGAGAGGCTGCGTCACTCGCAACGCCACGCGCGGCTTCGCCTGCGCTGATCTCACTTGTCACCGTTATTGCTTCGGTATCAATCAAGGAGCGATACAAACGTGAATGAAAACTTTACAATTTTTCATGGTGCACACTTTATGCCGTACCACAGAGAGATAACCCTTTTTGACACATTGATTGCCACAATTAAATAATTTGCTTTTCGATGATTTTTTTATCAACAATATGTCAGTTTATAATATACTAATTATATTTGTCTTTCACAAAACTTATAATAAAATTTTTATTTTTACCTTCAAAAATATTAACACATTGCTAACGTTTATCTATACAAGGAAACGTTTTCGTTAAAAAGTATCTAAAAATTTAACTACACTAAAAAAATACTAAATATTTGTTTGAATAACTTTAAGTAAATATTTACTAAATGTAAATATTTATTTATTTGATACCTTTGATTTAACTCATTTTTTTATTAAGTAAATATTTATTTAATGTAAATAAATTATTAGTATTATTCAAAGAAATATGTACTAAGATTTAATAAATTTTTTTCAGATACAAACCTAATAATAATTTTATTTAAAATAATTATGTAAAAATTATAGTTTAGTACGTTGACATTTTTTACAGCAGTTTATATGTACTTGAGCGCGTTCTCTACATAATTATTTTAATAATCCAACAAAATTATTTTCAGATTTGTATCTACCAAAATTTTTAGATACTTTAACAAGATTGTTTTTTTTTTTGCTATCATGTAGACCATTAATTTTTTAATTAATTCGGTATAATCAATTAGATAGAATGAATCTATGATAAAGGAACTGCTCAAAGAAACTCTTCTTTAAATTTGACCGACTTTGAATTCGAAAAGTCGGTCACGATAATAAAACGCAGCGATAAAGGTTGCATAGTTTTCCGTCGACGGTATTCATCGAGCAATCTCGGATCTGACGTCACGCAAAATACGATTAATCGATACGTGAGAGCTGTACCAGCGATACCCCTCCACTTTTGTTTCGTGGCAGTCAAGCCATCAATGATGTTACGAATCTTTTCATTGATGGTTACGTTTTTATTTTCCTACATATTGCAACGTCTTAAAGACTGCATTGATTTCATAAAAGTTCAAATTTTTTCATATTTTTACATCGCAGAGGCAATGAATCGATTTAGACAATTCAATCTTTGCCAAAGAAAAGTATTACTTCAAGAATTGATAAATAAAATAATAATAATAAAAATAATAAAATGACATAAACAGGCAGTAGGAAACACTGCAACGCGGAAAATGGGACAGCGAGAAATTGTGGAAACGGTATTCCTGGAAACGACATGTGCTTCCTTATTTGCGTTTGCGAGCAATGTTACGGTACGAACCGTGTCAGACACGAAGCGCAATTCAGACACGAAGGAGTTTCGCGCGAGTAATTAACGACCGTGTAGACATCTGACCGTTGTAGGTGGACAGGATCAAATCGCAGCTGCAGTATGAATTCACTGTTAATGGGGCTAAACGGGTCAAGAACACTTTGTTATGCAGTGATGGATGATAATAGCTGATAAATGAATGGTTAATATTTCGTGTTACCTACTAATACGATAGCCCTAAAAGTCGATTTTTACGAGCGCAATATGATAGCCAGGTGGTAACGAAATTGACCTGTGCCGAAGAAAAAATTTATACGATTGATCGGCGATGCTTGCGCGATGGTTCAGAATCAATCAAGTGGATGATAGCTTCATAAAGTGTCATACCGATCGTCTGATCGAGATAAAGTTAGTCTGTTTTATGTAGATTTTTATACATAATAAAAAATGGGCAAATTTTCTTGACTGAATAATGAAAATATCTAATAATTTTAAGTTGGAATTAGACCGATAAGAATAAATTAAATGATATCCTATTTTTAATCAAAGCAAATTTTGGTATTTATTCAAATTTGCAAATACATTTTTTAGTTCTGTACTTCAATATTGTAATAGTGCTTATTAGCATCATTATTAAAAATTAACTATCAATGTAATTTATGATGTTATTTCTGACCTCAATTTATGATTGAGTTTCAAATCCGATAAGCCGATTCAGCGAGCAGTTCATGGAACTGAAAAATGTATTTGCAAATTTGCATATAAATGTTATTAAGCACCAAGATTTGCTTCGACCAAAAATAGTATTTTCTTATTTGAAAATATCTAATATATCAAAAAGCGAAGTTCATTTTGAATTAAAATGGGATTGTTTTCACTCATAATCAGCTAATAATTAATCGGACATATTTCGAAGACAATCAATATAAAAAACGGGGAGATCTTCCTCTCATAAGTTATAAGCTAACCCGACCCTTAGTGAAGGGAATTTATGAGATGTCGGAGGAGAGAAAGAGGTAGCTAATAAAAATATACAATCTGTGATCTTCCCTGCGGCAAAGGGAACTTTAAATTGACTATTTTCAAGGCTGACTTTAAAGTAGGCTCATTGATTTGGAGGTCCTAGAACAGTCATGTATCTTAACCTTGGTAACCTTAGAAATACTCCTGGAGTCACGCCAGTCTCCGAACCGGTCGGTTAAACGAACTGTCTGTCTCCGTCAGTGTGTCAACTCCACTTACATTAATTAGCATTCAGATCTCATCGGTCTTACTTATTCGCCGGTTGTTCGACTAAGTTTGTATTATTGTAACTTAACATTCTAGTAATTTCAGCTCGTTGGAGCCTCGTGCCATGGTCAACGTGCGAGAAGCCCAATTGCGATAAAACGAAAATAACGGAGAACTTTCAACGCGCTATTTCAAGTGCATCGAAATTAAACAGCTGTCGCGGTGCATGCCAACGCAGTCATGCAGCAAAATGTTATAGTTACCTAACAACACGTCCGGTGACTCGACTCTCCCGTTATCGCGAAATATATCAAATTCGCGAATGATGTAACTTTGGACCACGTCCAGAATCCGTGAGTTTAGTTCTCGGGCAGATGACACGCGTACAAAGGCCACTCGCATTTCACTTTACAACTTATTATTGATCTTCTTTCTATTATTGAACTTCTGTCGTTCCTTCTAGAGGCCGTAGATGACCGACTTCTGTTGTTATCGCTTCATCGCGAGTGACAAATTTGCGTATCAATGAGTACGACATCGATAATGGTAGCGCGCGATGTAGTTCTACATGGAAAGGATGGTTTTGTAGTATTTAAAAATTTAATTAGATAACAAAACTAAAAATAATTTTGTTGGCCTATCAAAATAATTATGTATGACACTCAAGTTGACTACTAGACTTTTGACAGGATTGTTATCATACTTGAGTTTTCTACATTATTATTTTAATAGTTCAACAAAATTATTTTCCGATCTGTATCTGACTAAATTTTTTAATACTTTAACAAAATTGTTCTCTCCGTATAGCTCTGTTCTTTTATTCCTGCATTAGACTGCAGTAGAACTTTCTTTCTTGTTTTCAAATATCAAACATATACCTATTTCATTTGAAGTTCCAAAGATGTGTATATACTAGTTCAGTTATTGAAAACAGATCTTATATTTCCTCGAGTTTATTTATCATATCGACGTTCAAACGATTAGAGATGCACAGAAATAATTTTGCTAAAATATCTAAAAATTTGGCTAGATTCAGATCTGAAAATTCTGTTCAGCAAAATAATTACGTAGGACGCTCAAACTAGTTGCTAGAATATCAAATTTTTGTAACTTGCACATGCTTGAGATTCCTATGTAATTATTTTGGTGGCCCAATAAAATTATTTTCTTTTAAATATTTCAACAAAATCGTTCGTATAAATTATTCTTTCCATATGCGCTCCAGACGAATATAGGCTCCGCACGGGAGAAGGATCTTAAAATGCAAATTCAATTCTCTGAGATTCCACATACAGATATCGGTGATTTATAAATTCACCAAACAAAGCCCTATCAAGTCTTCTCTTCTCTAATTTACTTATTTTTTTTTTATAACTCGGAGGTCGGTGATACATCTCGGGGTTGTCCGTCGGCCGCAAGCTCATTTATTCAATTTAGACTCCGTTTTTAATTAACATTCTTTCGTCTGTAGTCCGAAGATGTCCTTATTGTGACCTTTGTAGGGCGCGACGCTGACGTCATAGGTCAGCGGTCTCGTAGACGCACCGTTGCGCCCATTATTCTTTTATTCAACTCGCGGGTTCTTAACTAGAGTTTTACGATCTTTTGTTTGCTTTTGTCCTTACACTAATTAATATTATTTCTTCTTCTTGCCGAACAAGGAGGCGGGGTCACGGACCTGGAGATCAAGAGCTCTCTGGTATTTTTCATTTTTTTATTTGGATTTGTCATTTGTGCGTAAATTACCGTTTATTGCGTCGATGGCGCGCGAAGATGACTTTGAGGACACTTTGTGGCGTGTCGGGGAAAGACGGGTCAAACGAACGACCCACTTATGAGTTCCCGCGCGGCGACAGATTATTTGCATTAATTGCCCGTTTCTCAATGAAGGCGTTCGTCTCCGCGAAGAGTACACGCAATCGGAGACACTCGATTCTTCGTCTATACGAGCACAGAAGCAGCTGCCGATGCAGTTCTCGGAAGCATGTAGAACGAGGAGCACATTGGAGTACGCATCGTTGAGTAGAATAATTTTGCGCTTCATGTATTATAAGAATGTTATACGGATTATGTAAATTTTCACGAACGCGCCGCGTCCTGCGACTCTTCGATTAATTTCTAATCAATTTTTCTTTAATCTTAAAAATATAAAAAAAAGAATGATTATTGCTGAAGTATCTAAAAAATTTAGCTAGATGCAGATCTGAGAATAATTTTGTTGAACCATCAAAATAATTACGTAGGAAACTTACTTTCTAAAACTTCTAGAGTGAAATGTCACTCTAAAGAATAAAATCTCACTCTTAAAGATTGAAAATTAAACTATTCTTTTTAAAGACTAGCTTAATTATCTCTTTAGAGTAAGATTCCACTCCAAAGAATTTAGAGAGTAAGCATGATGAACAATCCTGCAAAAAGTTTTGACATTTTAGTAATCAGCGTCCCGTATGATTATTTTGATGGTTCAATAAAATTATTTTCAGATTTGTATCTACATAGCTAAATTTTTAGATATTTCTACAAAACCATTCATTCCGTAAAAGTCTCAATTTGTTTCATAAGATGTGATAGTTGAAGTCAAAAGCAGTTAAATTTTGTTCATCAACACGCAAATATTGTGCCTATTTCTTTCTATCAGAAATGTTTGTTCCTAAAAAATGTAATTCTGCTATTTGTGTGTGTATTTGTGTATGTGATTTGGATCTTATAGAGAAGTGCATGTACGTATTTAAATTTAATTAAGTACCATCGGCTGGAAAATCGGTATCGTTACGCAAGCGCGTGCGCTTGTCCGAACTCAGGAAGCTGAAATCACAATCCTCGTTCCAGTCTGGTAAATTTCATCAATATTATAATGCAGCTGATTCGGGTGACACTCGTTTCAGAGTTACGTGATCCGTAATAGACGATCGCATGGACCGATCGTGCGAGTAACAGATGTTAAGCTCGTTGCTGTGATGAAAATGGTTGAATCGCCGTCAACGAGAACGAATTGTTTCAATCTAATCATAAATTATTAAATTTTTCAATATATATTTGCCGTATTGACAGAGATTGATTATAAAGGGAATAGGATTAAATTTAAGTCTTTTTTATTGTTATAATAAAAATTGATTAATTTCTTCTAGATGTTATTTTTCATTATTTTCTAACTATATCTTTAATCTGTGACAATTTTTAATAAAATTAATTTTTAATAAGATTGATAAAGAAGATAATAAATATCCATGGGTTAAACATCGCAAAAATTGGTCTTAAAAGAGAGAGAACGAAGATACATATCTAGGAAATCTTCAAATCGCTATTTATATATAACGCGGAACATCGTCTAAATTAAATTCCCGCAACTTCGTACTCTGTCGACTTCTAAGGTTTGTTTTTTATTGCTGTACTAGATTGCACTAGAACGTAGTTACTCTTCCCTTTTGTCAAACTTCAAACATATACCTATTTCACTTTAAGTACAAAAAGTATATACTAAGTTCAGTTATAAAAAACAGACTTCTAAAGTGAGAGAGCTATAAAAAACTATAAATTTTTATAGCCATAAAATCTATAAAAAGGCTATAAAAAACAGCTGTAAAAACAGATTTCTCAAATAAAAGAATTAGAAGTCAAAGAGAGAGATTGACAATTTGTTCGGTAGAATGCTATGCGTGGGGACGTTGCACAAGTCTAGAAAGACTTCCATCATTCTCTCTAGAATGTTTCATGACGAATCATACGGCATTTAAGCTGCCAACACCTTGAAATCGTTCCAAAGCAGACGGAATGACGCGTCTCGCGGCCGGCCCCAACATTGCAAACTCTTGGCAACGTTATTGTTGTCAACTGCCAGTTGTTACCGAACCCTACATACCGCTTGAGCACACCTGGTTGTGCGATATTGGTGTCTCTCGAAGTTGCGCGAAGTTAGCGAAAGGACTTTCATAGAGTAAATTAAAATATTTAAAATCATATAAGAAGTCGTGAAATTAAAATACATAGAAATTAAAATAAATACGAAAAGAAGAAAAAAAACATACAAAGATTTTAATAAAAACAACATTATAAAATATATGATCCTTTCAGGATGTGGACCGCACACTGCCAAAATTTAGTATTCATTGCCTTTGTGTTCTTACCCTCCGTCGTGAGAGGCATCCCGGATTATTCTGGACTACCACCGGGACCGTATTGTGCCTCGAGGTATCCTGAAGGTAGTTGCTGCCCAGGACGACAGGATGAATGCAGCGCGCCGATCCTCAAGACGTTGTGCTACTGCGACGATTTCTGCAACCGAACTCGCGAAGAGGACTGCTGTCCAGATTACTGGTACCATTGCAGAGGGCTGCCGACCACCACATCGGCACCCGAGGAGCTAAGGAGTTCGTATATGTAAAATACAACTATAAAAATAAAATTTAAACATATATAAATTTATATAATCTACTATAATAATTTATGTGATGTATTTGTGTAATCAGACTTACCTTGCATTTGAAGAAAATACGTCTCAAGCATTGAAATTGCATAGTTGAAGTTGTTTACAATGTTGGATTTTGATGTAACTGTTCATATTTTTTATCGATACGTTAAGTTTGTGTTTTTGAAGTCTTGTGTGTTGTTTCAGTATGCTTTTTCCAAGGAAAAGAGTACTATCACGGGCAAACGTTGAAAGTTAATTGTAACACATGGTAATATCTTCTCTTCCATTTTTAATGTAAATAAACGAGAAAAAGTACACGTACGAATTCTGTAAGTTTTATTTACATTGCAGTAAATGCTCCTCGCTTGGCAAGCGCGCCGAAGTGCTCTGCGAGGAGAACCGCTGTTTGATCGAGCCGGAGTTGATGGAGGAGCTCAATTTGCAAGGACCAACTCTAGGTTGGCAAGCGGGCAATTATTCCGAATTCTGGGGAAGGACACTTCGGGAAGGTGTGGAGCTTCGTCTGGGCACTCTCAACCCCTCACAATCCGTGAGTGTTTTAGAACCCAGTGAGAAATGATAATGGAATTCATGTCGAATCGACGTCGAATTAGATGACTTCGATGTCACATCGACGTCGATTCCACTGTCATTTCTGACTGAGAATCATTACAGAGATCAGGTTTAAGTAATCAAAAGTCTGTCCATAAATTATCGCATATAAGACATTTACGGAATATATATATTAACTATAAAATAGATCATTTTCCGCGATAATGAATTTTTGTAACATCTTGATCACAGCACAATATACATTTAAAGGCGACAATCAATTATTCAAGAAGACAAATTTAAAAATCGCTGTCGGAACGGAAAGTTTTCATACAGCGGACTTGCACGAAACTCTCTTTATACTCAATGAATTCAAAATAAGGCAACCTTAATACGTGGCTGTCTATAGACGCCACCACCACGCAATACCACCACGTAAGATTAGGTCAATTGCTTTGACTTGTGCAACCAAAGTTAAAATTCTAACGGCTAAAGCAATCTTTTGTATTTCGCTGCGGGGCTCTTATGAATAAGAAAACGCCCAACGACGTTGCTTGCGGCGTCTTTTAGTCCTCCGAAATGCCTGAACACATTCCCCGAGGACGCGAATATCTTCTCCTCTATCGTAAATGAGATTCGTCAATATGCACGCAGGTAAATGGAACTCGTGATCAAAGAGGCCCCAGGGTCGTCTCGCTTAAAGCTCGCTTAATTTGTACACCCAAAAAAAAATAATTTTAATATTAGCAGAAAAACCGCTAAATCTTAGAGAATTTTATTCTTATATACGGCCTCAAGAGGAATCTTCTAAAATCAAGAGGAAAATATGCTAAGCACAATATTCTTACTGTTAGAGTATTTTCGTTTTGCATCTGCAGTAAAAATCTTGCTGTTCTTAATATGAATTTCCTCTTGTACACAGCTTAATATTCTTATAGTTAGAGTAATTTCGTCTTGCATCTGCAGTACGAATTTTACTGGTCTTAATATCAATTTCCTCTTGTATATAGATTATTTAATATTGTTTTAAGAGATATTATATATACTTTTGAGAAACTTTAATTAAAGAGTATTCACTTCAAAGATATCACAGGATTTGACGTCTATCGCCATGTTGTGATCCATTGTTAATGTCAATATTTCATGAACGGTAAGGTTCACGAAACGTTAGCATTAGATAACGACGATAACCCTTTGGCATCTTTGAAGATATTATCTTTACTGCATTTTTTTCCAAATAAAAATACCTGCATCATATCTATAACAAGCAATGCACTACGTGATAGACTTACGCTCAATCCCACGACGGTAGAACGCGGTGTCTTTTGAGGCGATCCATTCATCCACCCATTTTTGGACTTCGTTGTGACTGGAGAAGTGTGTGTCCATAAGTGCGTGTTGCATCGATCGGAAGAGATGGTAATCCGACGGTGCCAAATCTGGAGAGTACGCTGGATGCGGGAGAACTTCCCATTCAAGTTCTAGAAGTGCCTGCTTCACGCTTTTCGCGACATGCAGTCGAGTGTTATCATGCAACAAAATGACTGCGTCGATTGTTGGCTACGGATGATCTTTTTTGCATCAATTCGTCACTCAATCGGCCTTTGGAGTAACATTTAACTGTTTCGACAACTCTAAAAGCGTTTGAGCTGGATTCTCATCAATTCTTGCAGCTCGACATCTTCAAATTTTTTCGGCTGTCCTGGACGTTCTTTGTCTCTCACATCAAAATCACCGTTTCGAAAGCGGTCAAACCAAACTCTACATGTTCTTTCCGATGGAGTTTCATCACCATGCACTTCGGATAATAAGCGATGCGCTTCAGCTGCGGTTTTCTTGAGGTTGAAGTAGTGAAGAAGCACATGTCGGAAAAACAGCTTATCGCGATTCATTTTCCATCGATTGGAAAATTTCTTTGACGTCGAGAAATCTAACCTGCGAGGATTGAATCACTTTCCGCGATGTTCTAAACAAGAGATTTCTTCTTCTTCTAATATTTAAGTCTTCTTCTTCTTCTTCTTCTAATATTTAAGTGGCCCAGGTTCCGGCGATAGCAAAGACCGGATAAACATGGCCAACTAATATTTAAGTGGCCCAGGTTGCGGCGATAGTAAAGACCGGATAAACATGGCCACTAAACAAGAGACGTATGACTTCATCGTCGAAACTCGCCAGCGTTGGAGCCAGCACCCTCTAGTAGCGAGCGGCAGGAATTAAGTTTAACACTTACTATGATACACGCCAACGGCCAAAAAGCAGCGACAGGCAGCACATATTGCTTTTCATGTTAAGGCCCGTCTACAATACACGGAGTAAGAAGTAAGAGTAAGAAATTGACCAATCACAGTCGAATGTGAGAAGAATAATCGACTGTGATTGGTCAATTTCTTACTCTTACTTCTTACTCCGTGTATTGTAGACGGGCCTTCAGAGGGCGTTCCGCTTTAAGTAAACGTATTCCTCTTAACACAAGAGGAAAACTGTTAGAATAATCTCTAATACATTTTTGATGAATAGTCCAGAATACTCTTTCTGTAAAAGTTTCTGCTTAGAATATGAGGTTACCGGAAATTTTACTTTACAATTAGATTATCTTTTTTTGGGTGTACGTAATTTTCATCATAAACTTAAAGAAAAGATTGGTTGCAGCAAATTAAATGGTTAAATGTGGCATAGCATTTTTAATTGGCTGTAGCAACCAATTTTTGCGTTAGCCAATCAAAATCCTATATTGACGTTGCGTTGATAGGCTAAGCCCGTATCCTCATATGGGCAACAGCGCTTTGACACAGAGCTTTGATTGGTGAAAAGCCGGTTGTAGGGGTAAAATTTAATTATCTTTTTTTGGGTGTACATAATTTTCATCATAAACTGAAAGAAAAGATTGGCTGCAGCAAATTAAATGGTTAAGTGTGGCATAGCATTTTTAATTGGCTGTAGCAACCAATTTTTGCGTTAGCCAATCAAAATCCTATATTGACGTTGCGTTGATAGGCTAAGCCCGTATCCTCATATGGGCAACAGCGCTTTGACACAGAGCTTTGATTGGTGAAAAGCCGGTTGTAGGGGTAAAATTTACCTTCACATCATCCGTTTTTCACCAATCAGCGTTCGGTGTCAAAGCGCTGTTGCCCGTATGAGGCTGTTGCAATCAATTAAAAATGTTATGCCATATTTTACCATCTAATTTGTTGCAGCAACCAAACTTGTCTTTTAGTGTAGATCCTATTACTTTATATATTAACTATAAAATAGATCATTTTGATGCGACAATAGGTTGGCTTAAAGAGTTAAAGAGATTTTTAATATATTTATTTATTCAATATATATATGTCGTATCTAAAAGTATATTATACGACCCGGATGCACTGCCGCGGGAGTTCGACTCCAGGACGCGCTGGTCACGCGACATATCCGGTGTTCATGATCAAGGATGGTGCGGCGCGTCCTGGGCCATATCCACGGCCGATGTTGCGACCGACAGGTTCTCGATCATGAGCAAAGGTGCCGAGGACGCAGAGCTGAGTGCCCAGCATCTGCTCTCTTGCAACAACAGAGGACAACAAGGCTGCAGAGGCGGTTATCTTGATCGCGCTTGGCTCTTTATGAGGAAATTCGGGTACTTTACAATCTAATGGTGAACGAATTCAGTCACTTACACTATACTGATGAGTATATATTAAAGCTGCTTTATGAAGTACCTAAATATAAAGTATCTAAATATAGTGGTGTAATATTGATAATACAATGAACTTTGACAATGAAACAATACATGTATATTGTGTTAAACAATGTAACAATGCCATTTGATTGTTTAAAATATTCATTATGCTATTTAACTTCGCCAATTTCATGTATAGCAGCTTTTAGTGTGCATCACAATGCAAGTGACTGAATTTACTATAAAATTTTCTTTCAAATATCAAACAATATTCCTAATTGTACACAGTCTTGATCATAAATTTTATTAAATAAACATTAATAAGAATAAGAACTATAAGCCAGATTTCAATATATTTAAATTTGTGAACAGACGTTTCGACCTTATTGTCAGGTCATCCTCAGTGTATATAATGTAGAAAAATTAAATGCAAAATTAATAAAAATTATAAAACAGTTAGATACAAATTCTAAAATTATAGTTATGCTAACATGATGGTCGTATTCCTTTATATGTTTTTTATACTGCAACAATGTAATGCCTTTCTATCATGTAATATTCTGATAGTAATGACTTTAATTTTAGAATTTGTATCTAACCGTTTTATAATTTTTATTAATTTTGCGTTTAATTTTTCTACATTGTATACATTGAGGATGACCTGACAATAAGGTCGAAATGTCTGTTCAAAAATTTAAATATATTGAAATCTAGCTCATAGCCCTTATTGTTTATTTATTATTGAGCTATTATAATATTACCTTTATAAATTTTATTATTTTATATATTAACTACAAGAGTATATACTCATATATTATAAAATATAGATCATTTTGATTCAACAATAAATTAATTTAAAGAAATCTTTAATATATATTACTATTTTATGTCATGTTTAAAAAGGATTTGTTCTATAATGTACGGTGGTAAATTTCTGCTTAAACACGTGACTTTAATATCATTAATCCTTTTGTTGCAGCCTGGTAGATAAGGACTGTTATCCTTGGACCGGTAAGAACGATCAATGCAAACTACGTAAGAGAAGCAATCTACAGGCCGCCGGTTGTCGAAAGCCACCAAACCCGCTGAGAACAGAATTGTACAAGGTCGGGCCGGCTTATCGTCTGGGCAACGAGACTGATATTATGCAGGAGATTCTGACCTCTGGACCAGTGCAAGGTAGCTATAACTTAGACGGTCACCCATTAATCGAAATTCTAAAATTGTAAGAAGAACAAGAAAGTTAAAATAATGTCAATACATCATATTGGCCAATTATTGATATAATTTATGTCATTTATGTCTTTTTATTCATGATTCAGTCAGTATTACATTATTTTGATTTTCTTATTCCTCTTCAGATGTATTGATATTTAAAGTCATTATATTCTGCTGAAGGAGACATAATATTCCGCGATATTAAGAGAATATTATATAATATAAAGCAACGTCTTTTTTTTTACAGCTACCATGAGAGTCTATCAAGACTTCTTCGTATACAATAACGGAGTATATAGGCACTCTCAAAGTGCGGAATTACACGATTCCGGTTATCACTCGGTGAGAATAATCGGTTGGGGCGAGGAAAGGTCTTATCGCGGTCTACCGCTCAAATATTGGGTAAGTTTACACGATATCACACCCATATCACATGATAACATTTGTAAAAGAGAGAAGAAAAAGTTTAAGAAGTGGCACAAGTGTATATCATTTTTATACGTCATTGAATATCGTAAAAATGTCCCAATGTTTGGAAAGTTGAAATAATTAGAAACAATTAACTCTGCTAGGAAAAATTAGCTGAATCGACGTCGATCGACTAATCATTTTTTATTAGAACGTATTGAAAGTTATTGCGATTTAAAATGCTAAATAATTTAAATTTAATCTTTTTTTCAGCTGGTCGTAAACTCCTGGGGATACAACTGGGGAGAAAACGGGCTCTTTAAGATTCAAAGGGGAACGAACGAATGCGAGATCGAGTCGTATGTATTGGCGGTATGGGCCAAGACGATATAAAAAGAAAAAAAGAAACGAGGAAAATACCAAAGTACTAGAATATCCGATTGTCATAACACTGTTGGTGCATTTATTGAATCTCCGTCGTCGGTCCGTCGTCATGCGCAATAATGCGATTGTCATCGGGGACAATGAACGATACATTGATGTTCAAAAGTATGTGATCCAATTGCCTGATCCGTACATGCCTTATTACACGTAGGATCGGGAGGGAACGAGCAAGAAACGAGAGGGAGACAGAGTTGTTTATAAATATTTAATAATTATAAGTACGTGGATAGTCGAAAAAAATATCGTTATTTTCTCATTATTCGTAGACAACAATAATCGTTTTACATAGAAACGTTCTCACCGTTACGCGTCGATGATCGATAGTGTCGCGGCGACTTCGATGTGTAAGAAGTACTAAGTGCCAAGCGCTTGAAATAAATTTTATAAGTACGTAATAGTCTCTTTTTCACTTCGTTAAACGATACGATTATACTTCTACTCGCGGTTTTAAACACTTTGCGTTTTTTTAAATTTAATCTGCAGTTAAACCTCTTTGTGTTATATTTTTAAAATTAGACACACGTACGTTATGTGTGAGGAATACTCATCACGGAAAAACAGATTTGTTAAAACAACTAGAAACTTCACTGATACAGCAAATCTTCAGTCGTATATAAACAGTCAGTTTTGTACGTTAAAGTAGCAAAGTTATATGAATAAAATAGCGATTATAGGTAATCACATTCGTTGTAATAGTACTGTTAATACAGCATGACTTTCTATAAAAGTCAACCCAATACATAGATCAAAATTGTTAATAAAACATGCTAACTAAGATGACGTGTTCTTTTGTCGCTGTAATGAAGAAAACTTCTTCCATTACCTATACAGCACAGAATTTGCTGCAAAATTTCTGCACTATTACTTAAACATATAATGTTGCTGCAATATTACAGCAGTGTTGATGCAACTTTTATTCAACTTTGTGCTGTAGGGGTATAGATGTTAAACTCGCGCAGTAAGCTATAGCTTTGCTGAACCACTTGATCTACTTTTTCCGTGATGATGTTCCCATAAGGTAAATGGCAGTGTAATAGTGTATTAGGATGTGATACCACTAATTATGTTCTTAACAGATAATCGAGCTTTTTGTACATATACTTGTGCAAGATGGACAATATAATTTCCTTCAATTCTTTCCTATCGAGTTCTTTCTGTAATTGACTAAAATAAATTTGTATCAAACATATACGGCATATAACACGCAGTATTAGGCACTCGAGGGACGATTGTGCACGTTTTGTATCACTAATTAAAAGGAACTCTCTTACGATGATTTCATCGTTAGACTACGACGCTTCGTCTGTTGCTTTTGCAATGGGGACTGTACACTTCTAATTTGTCCCGCGGTGTGTTCATCGCGGAATAATCGATGGGGAATGGTATGGTATTACCGCGAATCATGCAAGCATCCGTCATACCCAGGAAATGCTCACCCGGTCCGAACGGGCCGCGGCCGAACAAGAAATTGGCGAATACTAACTGATACTGCGCCCAGCCAAGAGGATGGTCTCCATTCTGAAACGAAGTTTTCCTATCGTTATTAACAAATTTTAATAATTAAGGATTAATTGCTCTTATAAAGAAGTAATAAGAATTTAATAAAGAAATATATAATTGTCTTTCTGTATAAATAATGCTATTAGTTTAGGTCCTACCTAAACAACCTTGCTTTAAGAAATCATCAAGCTGAAATTGACCAATCATAGTCGATTATTTTTCTCGTATTCAACTGTTCTTATAGCTTTACAGCTTTTTAAAGCAAGGTTGCGGATTTAGATCAAAGCAAGGTGGATCTATAGATTAATAGCTTATTGTAGACTGTGTATAAGACTTTTTACTTCCTAAAGTTATAACTTCTCTTAATCCTCCAAATCCTAATATATTTATTTGTTTAAGCTCTTGTTCTAAAAAATTAAAAAAAAATATCTACTTGATACAGATAAAAAATTTAGTCGCATTAAATTACAATTTTAATTTTTTACGAAATTATTTTAGAAATCTAACTAACCGAAGTCAAAGAATTGTACGCGATATCCAGGCACTTGTTTATCCTGTCAGTGTCCAAACCGACCACGGAACCATAAAAGGCTGCGAGTTCCTTTTTGCTGATCATTCCACTTCCGGAACTATTTATAGCGAGGAAAAATACTCTGGGCATAACTTTAACCCAGAACGGCATATCATTGTAACTAGCACCGTCCGGCGGTGCAACGATCTGCGCCCACCAGGATAACCAGGCCTCGAGATCGATCTTTTTATTCGGCTCCGCGAGTCCTTTCTTATCCTGAAGGACCAAGCCGGCGAATCCATTTTCGATCTCCAGAAGCCTTAGGTACTCCGGACCATTCCATGACCAATCAGCAAATCTTCTCAAACGCTATCCGAAAAAAAAATATTATTTCTTTGTATAGATGTCTCGATGATTATCGATTTTATTGTATAGATATGTAATTATAAATTTAAAATAGTGTAATATTTTTTTATATACATATATCGCGGTTCTAATTAATAAAACATTTCTAGTGCGTTATTTTACTAAAGACTCCTATTCTTTTTTTTAGAAATATAGAAGAGAAAATTTAAAAACCTGAGTTTTTTAAGTATTATACTCATATTTTATAAAAATGAATGGGAAATCAAATTTTTGAAAGCAAAGTGTACCTCGGAGAATAACGAAAAGTCCTTCCTATTGATGTAACCATCTTTATCATGGTCTAAGAGGTATGTAAAAAAATGAGAAAATTTATCACGTTGAATGGGGGCTAAGGCCTCTGAACCTCCACTTTTACTGAATTCAATGGCGGATAAACTGTCGTCACTCGGAAAGCGGCTCACCCAGGTCGCTATAAAACACGGTAGTTAATTATATAATTAATTTAATTTTGATGATCAATATCCTCATCGTGAGAATAACAGAAAATAACAATAATAAATGAATTAATAATTTAAGTATCCTAATATTATTATTATAGTAAATAAATCAATTAGATATTAATAATAATTTAATTATTTGTTAAATAATAACAAAATAAATTAACATTACTAAATAAATTAATACATTTGTAACAGGATTGGCAAAAGTCCACATTTTTTGGATAAAGTCCATGCCAGTGGTAAAAACCGGTATTTTCCGGAAAAAACCGGCAAAAAAACCTGGTCTTTTCTATTAAAAATAATCAAATAAATATAGATTTGATTATTTTGAGTAAAAATACATTAAGAGAAAGACATAAGGGCCCTGTATGGGCTTGCTTTGAATCTTGTACAGTTGACAACATTATTAGGCAGAAATGTATTGCTTGTGGAACATTAGTTATAGTGGAAAAGCTCCACGATTGAAACAACATCTTCAAAAGTGTAGTAAGTTTGAAAAGAACGATGATGATAATTCAAGTAAAAGTGAATCAGACAGGAAGAGTGAAATGAATAAATCAAGTAATAGAAGAAAGATGCATCGATACCGAATCACCTTCATGTTCTTATATTTTAAAGCAGCAGTTTTATAGTTTTTACCAGTTTATTATTCCAGTGGATAAACTCCGGACCGGTAAAATTCGAAATTTATCCTGGTTTTTTCCACCCACTGGAATTTTCCTGCCAACCCTGATTTGTAATATAATTTCGACAAATATAACTTTTACGCTGTATATATAATACAAAATGAGATTTGCCTTGATTATATCAAGTACTTTCTAACTTTCGACTTTATAGCTAACTTATTATTGTAAATTTTTTTTTCTCAGAGAAAATAAAAATATAAGAAAATAAGAAAAAATGAAACAATTAATTTTTTAATAATACTACTATAAATTTTGTCAAAATAAAAAATTGAATTTTTGAAAAAGATTTTGTAAAAAATAACTGCGAGATTAATTCTCATTTCTATATATTAATATAAATTAACTTTAATCTCAGTTCAACTTAAGCCTGCGGTTTTTTTCTTATTGGATTTCTTGCGTTTTAATAAATTAGAATCAAAATTGGACTACACAAAATGCGCAGAATTTCTAGTAATTTATTAAAACGCTAACAATATAATCCAGCAAAAAAAAACGTACATCGTGTGCTGCAAGGTTTACTCTATACTTTCTTCTAACTTTTAGAACTAAAAAAAAGACAAAAAGTGAGTTAAACTAAGATTAGAGTTAATCTACGTTAGTAGAAATGAGACCTTGTTCTTTTTATGCCTATTTCTACCAATGCAATTTAACGTTAGTGTCTCGATTCAACTAAGTCTTCATCTTTTTCTAGTTTTAAGAATAAGAAAAAGATGAAGAGTAAATTGAACCGAGATTAAAGTTAATCTACATTAATGGAAACGGGCATTAGCTGAACTTGCACGGTTCATCTTTTCTCTTTTTCTCTTCAACGCAGAGAGAAAAGGAAGAAAGATAACCGTGCAAGAACTTTAACCAAAGAACAGACCAATGGATATAATAAGCAACGATTAAAATTAACAAATTAAAATCTAACAGACTCACTCCAGACGTGCACGCTCCAACCAGGCTGTTCCAGTTCGGGGGCGACGACTGGTGCGACGGCGAGCTCATCGACGTTGCTGCTGGTCGTTCTCCATCTTTTCAGAAGGTCCTTAGTCCGATCTCGTGTACGATCGCATGCCTGCCGCCAATTGGTGATGAATTTGCGAGGTACCTTGAGCGCATTGTTGTCATCCAGGCTGATCTCTTGGCTGCCGAGCGAGTCGCGTTGACTCTTGTCTTGTTCGCCGCCACCGCTCGACGTGCCATCATTCTCTGGATAATACATCGGGTCCTTTATGCTACCTGAGCGACTCTCCATGATGAACTACTTAGTCAGACGTTATGCCTTAGCTGACGTTACATATATTACAAAGGGGGGATTCACTCTCTCACCTGAAAATAATCAATTCCACCAGTCGCAGAGGTCACCGGGTCGCTCGATATTGCGACCGCGCCGTTTCGTCGCCGTGGAATCTTCCGTGGGGGTGTAATCAGGTGCAACGGCTAATGTGTAGACGCATAAATCTTTCTCGTACGACGACACTATATCTCTTGTGTGCAATTTATTTATTTTTAATCTATATACATTGATTGAACGTATTTCAATCAGAAATGATTGATCAATCGATGGATGTTGATCGATGCTGAATTTCTTGGCTGTATCAACATCGATTCGACGTTGATTGATCAATCATTTCTGGCTGGGATACTCTTCTGTTTCATTTAAAATTGCAAAAAAAAAATAAAATTTATTGCAATTAGGAAAAAAATCAAATGGATCAGAAAATAAAAGATATAAAAGAAATTGTCCTAATAAAATCTTCTATAAGTACTTTTCAAGGACATTCTGAAGATACGTAAAATCTATGTATAAAGTTAGTTTATAAATTATTTAATGAATTAATAAATTAATAATTGATAATTAATGGTAGGTATATTTTATGACACTTAAAATTCGGGATGTATCAAATATCCGAAAAATATCCAGTATCCCGTATTATTTGGTACTTTTTTGCTATCCGGTCGAATAGCCAAATATTATTAGTATCGCTAACAATATATCTGAAATTTTATATGTTGAAAATTTTATACCTTATTAATACAGAATTCTATACTTTTTAGTAGAACTTCTTGCAAATTCGCACGTTGCAGTTAAGGCGGTTTGTAATCGAAATAAATTGTCACCAGAAAATGCTGAAATGTATTGTTCACAATTTATGAAAAATTTATTAATATTAAAAATACAGTAAACGAGATTTATAACATACAATATGATAATAATATATGATAAATAAAAGTATTAATGGAAATATTATCCCTTTCCTCACCTGAATCAGATACAAGCAAGATATAAATAAAGTAAGAAATAAAAATATAATGATGAAAAAAAGAAGTTAAAAATAAATTTAGATTAAAGGTTACAGGAAAATTGTAAGGAAGAAAAAGTAAAATCTGCATATAAAAATAGGTATACTTTTTCTGCTAATAATTATGCAAATTAATAGACACCCAGATAGCGCAACCGATCCATTAAAACTTATAAAAAGTATTCATGAATAAAAGATGCACTTTTTAATAAGTTTTTTTAAATTAGTAATAATCTGTTCAAAATGGACTAATTAAGTAGAAAAATATATTTATATATAAAAACATATTTGTACATAATACATGTTTACAAATTATATCAATAATATATAAATAATAATTTATTTTTATAAATAACGATTTGTTTTTATACAAAATTAAGAAATAAAAAAAAAGAATAGAATCTGAAAAAGAGCTCACAATCGATAATATAAAAGTGAAACCTTTTGGGATCCTCAAAAATACTTTTAGAATAGAAATGGGACGAAACAGGAATTTATTTCGTAAGTGTCGAGACTAAAAAAATTCTTCAGATTCTGCTATTTAGGTAATTATAAATATATGTATAGATATTTTATGTTTTGCCATTTTATTCCATTTTGTTCCGGATATCGACAGATGTTCGCAAACGCGATTCTCGTCCCGCGTTGTAGAGGTCTCTGAACGTGACGTGGAGAACGAACGCGCCATCTTAATAAAGTGGCTCCCTCAACATAAGCCAGATTCTTTCCTTCTGTTGTAACTCGCGTGGGGTGAGTGATGTATGATTCGAATCGCGTTTTATTACAATCATCCTTGATTTTACGGGCGTCGGAATATGGGCAGATTGTTCGCCAGGCTTCCCAATTCGAGATCCTCTCATATTTTTCATAGACCTTCCCGTTGATCTATCATATTCATTGCGATGAAAACGTTAACCTCGAGGATGCCTGCCGCACTCGTGCTCGATGTTTCTCTCCTCCGGACCGACTTCGCGACATATCTCCGACGAAAATAACGATTTAAATGCTTATACTTTCATTAGAAAAAAAAAAAGGAATTGTTAATATAAAACTCTCATAGTAGAAATCATGAATAATGCATTGTTTAATCATCTTATTTGTATCTAGGGATTCGCGATGGGTGCATATAAGTATATGCAAGAGCTCTATCGCAAAAAGCAGAGCGATGTGCTCCGCTTCTTGTTGCGTGTCAGATGTTGGCAGTACCGCCAGTTGACCAAGATGCATCGTGCTCCTAGACCATCGAGACCAGACAAGGCCCGTCGTTTGGGTTACAAAGCCAAGCAAGGTAAGCATCACCATTCCTTTGCCAGATAGGAAACATGCTTTCGTATGAAAATATCAATTTGAGAATACTCAAATATACTGAGTCAAAGGCTTGTTCTTTCTTTTTTTAGCTGAATTTACTTGGTTCACCTTTTACTTTTTTCTTCAATATGGAAAAAAAAGAGGACAGATGAACTATGCAAAAAGTTCAGCTAAAAAGAACAAGTATAAAGTTTAGTTAATAATACTTTTCCAACAAGATGTTTTTATCTCAGGCATATAACAGTGGAAAATCTTTGTTTTTGAAATCAGTGATTCTATTCAGTATTCATATTTGGTTCTTATATTAAAAATTGTCTCAAGTAGTCTTAAGATGTCATGAACCAATCAGAATTGTATTAGCATCTAAAGACATTACTTAAGATAGTCTTGAAATAAGAATGGATATGAATATCGACTAATGCATATTCTGATAATTTATAGGTAGTTATAGATAAACATGAATTTGCCAAACTGTATTGCTTCTTTTAGATTTAAATGTTTTGTACTTATTTTACGAAACTTATTTTATGAAAACTGGCTTTACGGCTGATAAATTTTATTTTACATTTAAATCAATAAGCAATTCTTCAATGTAATATAATGACATCGTTTTAACTGCCTTATTATATCTGATACCAGAACATAAGTGATTTTGCATGACTCTACGTGAAAATTAATTGATGATTTGTACTTGCACCACTCTGACAGTTTTGTGGAGAGAATTATACCTACTACATCTACTGATATATTTGATAAATTAATTTTATGTGTACATAATCTTAAATGGAGAATAAATGCAAAATTTTATTTTTGTACAGGTTTTGTTATCTTCAGAATCCGTGTACGTCGCGGTGGACGCAAGCGTCCAGTTCCTAAGGGTGCGACTTATGGCAAGCCCAAGAGCCATGGTGTCAATCAGTTGAAACCAACCAGGAAACTACAGTCAGTTGCTGAGGTAAGATATTTGAATACAAGAGCTAAGTAGCATAAAAAGATTGTAGAAATCACATATGATGAATTGTACCATGCACCACTCTTACTTTAAAATGGGGAAGCAGTTGTACCTTCTGATCATAGACATTTCAATTACAGAAATTAGCTTCATTAATATTTATTAAAAAAATTTTTTTATTTTACATTTGTGTATTTCTAAAAATGATGATAGATTTGTTAATAATGAAAAACATTGATTCTTTTTCTTCCTTGGATGTCTGAAATTATTATTAATTTGAGGATTAACAGTCTTTCACTAGGATTTTTCACTAACAATGCTTTCTTGCAGGAACGCGTTGGCCGCCGTTGTGGTGGCTTGCGAGTGCTGAACAGTTACTGGGTAGCCCAAGACTCTTCGTACAAATACTATGAAGTTATTCTGATCGATCCTGCTCACAAGGTAATATTCAAAACAAATTTATAGTTTTTGTTATCCTTAAAAAGTAAAATTATTTTATTATTATTATGTTCGAACTGATATCTGAAATACTTTTTTTTATTTGACAATATGATGATATTTTATATCACCAATGAATGAACACATGATTCTTTATCTTCCTTGGATGTCTGAACACAACATACATTTTGAAAATTATTTTTTAAAGATTTGTTCGTCATATATACTTTTATCGTTTCCTGATTTTATTTCAGGCAATTCGTAATGATCCTAAGGTAAATTGGGTATGCAATGCGGTGCATAAGCACCGTGAGCTCCGTGGTAAGACTTCCGCCGGTAGAAGTTCTCGTGGATTAGGCAAAGGACATCGCTATTCGCAAACGATCGGTGGTTCGCGTCGTGCGGCCTGGAAGAGACGAAACACACTGTCTCTCCGCAGAAAGCGATAATTATTTTGTTTGTGACCTCCACTATGCAAGATACATCATTTTATTGCTTACTTGGTATCGATATCGTGACGTATCCTGTAAAAAAAATAAATATCTCTTTCCTAAAACTTGTAAAATTCTAATTTCTTCGATTTCTCTTTCTGTGCCCATGGAATCTTAAGTAAAGAAATCTTAAGCAGAAAATGTAATGGAAAAACAGTAGATAATGATTTTTTTAACCGATTTATTTTTTAATTATGCACATATTTAAAACAACGCAAGGAAAATAACTCATTGGCCGGGTCCAGAAAGTGACTTGTCCATAAATTTCTTTTTCGCAAAACAGAGCCACCATTTACTCGGTTTCCCATCCTCGCCATATACTTTTTCAACAATTCTAAGAGCCGTTTCCTGCCTAATTTGATGAAGATATTGCCTCATAAGATCTAAAATTGAAAGTAATATCGTATTGTCTAGAAATATCTTATTATATTAGTCGTTAATTTCCAAACAATAAGTTTACTACTTACCAGCTTCAGCAGGACTGCTTGGTTTGGCATATACTGAATTCAATGGAAAGCCGGGATCGCCAGGAATATCAAATTTGGAGATAGCAAGGGAAAACATTTCATTTATAGCTTGTGGTTGAGTCGCACACTTTTGTAGCTTCTTCAGGCATTCAGTAATGAATAGAGTGATATAGATTAAAACTCTGTCAGCCTCGCTCTACAATAAAAGCATAGTTTGATATATACAGGAATTATACTGTCTCACGATAGAATAGAACTTTTAAATGTATTACCTTAATCTCATATGTCCTAAAAAATACATTTGCTTTGAAGAAATATAACCCCTCGTCAATGATATCTTGTTCTTTGTTGTTAAAAGGAGGTGCAGGACCCCTGAATGTGGTTTTGATTGGCAGCAGTGCCATGTTTCCAATAGTGCCATGGCTCTTTGTGAAACTTGAGTGATACGCCTAAAATATTATAAGCAATGTATAAAACATGAAGTACATAAGATATTACAAATGAGGTGGATGACTAATCTAATCAGATTACTATAGGCTGATATTTATAGTTCGTGATTATTTTAAGACCATTCTAAGTAACGTTTTAAGATACAAATATGGATCTGTACTCTGTAGTCAGTATTTATGTAGTCAATTCTTAGGTTTAAGACTGTCTTAAGTAGTCTTAAAATGTTATGAACTAATCAGAGCGATATTAGTATCTTACGACAGTCTTAAATTAAGACAAATTGTTGAATAAATTAGTTAAGAGTCTAAAAGATAAGTAACAGACTACGAATATCAATCAAGCTGATATTTATAGTGGATTCTTAAGTCTGTCTTAAGTACAGTCTTAAGATATCACAACCAATCAAGAGGGCTGTATTAGCGTCTTCAGACATTACTTAAGACAGTCTTAAAATAAGAACTGACTACGAATAGACTGCAAGTTGGCTCTACATTATTATTCTGTCTTTAAAAATTGTCACCCAATTATAATTTAATATGTACGCGAAAATTTTTAATTTAATGAATATTTCACAAAAAAAGAAAAAATTATAGCAAAAATCTAGGCTGAAAAAGAAGAGACTGCACTTTGGTTATGGTAACTGGGTAACGCCCTTTAGTATTGCCGTTTATTTTGAAACATTGCTTGCGTTGACACAAAGTATCAGGACTTACAGGCATAACGATGGTAGAATAACAGTCTTCTAACAAAACGGAATAAACGGAGGCACGTCAGCTACAACATGCCTTGAAATGTCAAACTGTCGAGCTGATCAGCAAACCGTGACAATCTATGGTCTATTTCTGTTCCTGCACTAGACTGCACTAGAAGTCTCTTTCTCGCTTTCGACAACTAATCAAACATATACCTATTTCACTTTAAGTTCCAAAAGTGTACACTGGTTCAGCCACAGAAAATAGACCTCTAGTTCGAGCAAGCGACAGCAGATCGCGCTGATAAAGCTGCCGCGTCCAGGGACGCAGTCACCAGGAAAAGAGAAAAAGCAGTGACGACATTGACGACGTGTGTGCTTGTATACGATCGTGACGGCCAGTGTTGCGGGTTGCGGAGTCCCCGATGATGATGTCGCGTCGAGGCTCGCCGAGCTCGTGAAAACGCTCGACGAACGTTCAGCGCGCTCGCGTTCCCTCTGGAAACGACGACGACGGAGAGGAGAGAGGAAGCTCGTCCGCACATGTCGGTCTCCATGCAGATTGACAGCGGCATGTTGACGAATTCAGACACCAGCCTCTGCCGCGTCTGCCTGACCGTGGATCACAACAACCAGTGCATCTTCCGCAGGACATGGGACGATCCGGAGAGCCCATCCGGGTTGTCCGAGAAGTTGCAGCTATGCTGCGGCGTGGAGGTTTGTTTTCCACCTGCGCCTTCTGTTTATTTTGCATGCAAAATACGAGACGATCTCTTTTCTTATTCAGGTTCTGGAAGACGATGGCCTGCCGACTAGTATCTGCCTTGAATGCGTGGTGAAAGTCAACGTCGCCTACGAATTGAGGAAACAATGTCAAAAAGCAGACGTAGAACTCAGGAAGTTGTATGGGAAATCCTTAAAAACAAGCATTGCCAGCATTCCAACAAAAGTATTTTCATCTCTATATGAATAAAATTATAATAAGTAGCTAACTGGCTCAGGGAATTAACAATTAATTAAATAGAGAAGGGGACAAGTCTGATAATAACGATTTAATTTAAACCGAAGCATTTGGATAATTTATATGATTGAAAATACAATTGTTTTAAAATAATAATTTTAATAGTGTTCGGGCTGACATATATCTTTTTTGCTTTGCAGGACCAGCGTTGTCAAACTGACCAATCTTTTATCTTGGATGCAATCAGTTCGAGTGACAATATAGAGTTAAGTGCAGATAATGAAGTTGATATAGAGAAAACCATTATGCAATCAAATGTTATGAGACAAGAACAAATACTAGATGCTTTTGATCAAATCAAGCAGAATGTTTCAGTAGACAATGAAGTAGATTTAGACTGTGGTAGTAAGTATAAACAAGTAGAACATGACAAAATAGCTAATAGAACGAGAAACGAGAATGGCTATAGAACGAGAAGATTAATGTTTAAAAGGGTCACGTCTATAGAAAATTTGAGGAATTATAAAGAGAGACAGAGACGATACATCAAAAAGAGCGTAAACGTCAAACGCGACAGCAGCGATAGCGAGTATCAAACGAAGGCGAGAAATGTTCACGGCAGGATGGACAGAGCGTCCGAAATGGAATTGCAATATAAATGTCAAAAATGTGATAGATTTTATTCCAGTAAAAAGTCCTTAGATAGACACACATCGACTCATAACGATAAAGAGTTTAAATGCGATAGCTGTGATAAGCAATTCTTCTGTCTAGATAAATTGCATAAGCACATTAATCTGCACAGAGCAAAGGAGAAGCCAAAACCGGTGTTATGCAAAATCTGCAACAAGAGTTTCAGAAAGATCGACACTATGGTCAGGCATCTGAATACTCACAAGAAGGCGTATCCTAAGGACGTTTTCTCTATACTGAAGGAGATACGGGACAAGAGAAGATTGGAAAATAATCCAGAGTCTTTCGAAACGTCTCTCACGCTGGACGAGGACGAAGAAGTAGCACATGATGGACAATTTCAAAGTGCAAACAACGGCAATACGAGAGAGCTACGAAAACGTAATAATACAAAAGTGGAACTAAGAGACTCGGATTTGGTAAACAGCGACTCCAGCGATGACAAGACAGAGTCTTTTGACGACGCGTCGCTCTTCAATTGCAAACACTGTAGCAAGAGTTATCGTACCGAAAGGTCGCTTCAACGTCATCTGCTGGTACACGAGGAGAAGAAATACGTCTGCAATGTTTGCAACATGAAGTTCTTCCGACAGGATAGGCTGAAGAGCCACATGGATCGGTATGGTCACGACGAAACCAAGATGTGTTCAGAGCCGCAGAAACCGCCTGACGACAAGTCGGCCATCAAGCTGATAAACACCTGGATAAGAGAGGAACTGGATTCCGATAACGAGGGCAAGGGTTTCCCGTGTAGAATCTGTGGAAAATCATACGACACGAAGAAGTCCTTGTTGAAACATCAAATGAACGCGCACGGCGGACATAACGAGTACTGCACGAGTTGCGGTGCCGTGTGTAATTGCGCGTACAAGGATCAGGAGAAAGGCAACGAAAAGTCAAAGCCGTACACCTGCGAGGAGTGTAACAAGTCGTTCGAGAAGGAGATTAAGCTGCACAAACATCTGAGAATTCATGAGCGCGCCAAGGAGCAGCAGGACGCGAACTTCAAGCGTTTTCTGTGTCATATATGCAGCAAGACGTTTCGACAGAATACTGGCCTCATGTTCCACATGAGAACACATACGGGTTACAAGCCGCACGTGTGCAAGTACTGCGGCCGTGGGTTCACGTCCAACTCGAATTGCATCAATCATGAGAGGACTCACACGGGCGATCGACCGTTCGTCTGTCAATACTGCAGCGCTGCTTTCGCCAAATCGTGCACCCTCAAGGCTCACATCACCACGCATACCGGCGAGGCGAATTATCATTGCAAGACCTGCGGCAAATCGTTCCGTCGGTTGAAGTACTTGAAGGAGCACAGATTCACGCACACAGGCGAGAAACCGTACGCGTGTAAGATCTGCGGCACCGCGTACAGCCATTCTGGCAGTTTATTCGTACATGAGAAGAAATGCAAGGCGCAATTCAGTAATTATCAGTCGGGAGTTGTACAAAATGCACAGCAGCAACAACAGGTTTCCTACAGTCAATCCCCTCAGACCACCGGCGGCATTTCCGTGGCGTCCACTTCTTCGGTTGTCGCTCCTATCATCACTACGCTGCCTCAGGCTCACCTAAACGTAATTAACAGTACTCTGAATGTACAGGCGAACAAAGACTACGTGGATAATGTTCAGCGAATGAACGCGCATGCAGCGACTAACGCAACCACAGTTGTCTCACCAGGTCTGCATCCGAATGTTGACATCTCTGAAATGAGTTCCGCCGTCAGGAATTTCTCCATCATCG